GTAAGACGTATGGTCCATGGACAACACTTTCATAGAATAATTCGTTCATCAGCAACTTATTAGCCACTGTATTTGCCAAGCTACTTTGCAGCCTAGGACAGTGAAAAAATAATTTGTTTCTTACCGAACATCTCGTCGCCAAGATAGATGTCGTTGGCAAGGCCTGGATACCGCGTTATCAAAATCCTAGCAATTTCGCTGCACATAGGCTCTTCGCGGTTCAGCAGAAGATGAATTATTGTTTCGCCCTCAACTCCTCGTTTATTCAGCCTCCACTGGCCGAGATGCTCTCGAAATTTGCTTCCAAACTGGCCGACATCATCACCTTCTTCGGTCTTACCAAGTTGCACATTCTGCAAATATTTGAATCGATCACGCTGCCACAAAAGGAGAACTTCTATCTAAAATGTTGAACTTTGTGAAGTGAGAATCGAATTCCGATGGCAGCGCCTAGATAAGTGGCGTAAACATAGAGAACAACTGCACTCTTTTCAGAGTGTTTGAAGCGAATCACCTTTTCCCGAAATTATCTGATGTTTTAAAACCTTTGTTTGTTGTCTTATTCATTTGTTATATTAGCAACGATCAATTGCTGACTAGCGAACTAAAAAAATCGTGGTACTCAATTATTTCTTCAAGAAAAAACGCTGAACTTGTCCTCTTAACATAACATTATCCGGAATTGCTTTTCTTCGAGAAATTTGTGGCCGAACTAGTACTGTTCATGATTATGCGGCTTTCCGTAGGGTGTTTAAGAGCAATTTTTGAACAGTGTGTCTTTAAGTGGGAAATTGCACAGTAAAATAATATTCGGTGAGAAAGTTTCATCACTTTATCAATCCAATTAAGACGCAAGGAACTTGACACAGCTGTGCTATTTTAATTGCTACTTCGATGTTATCAATCGACTAGATTCATGGTACTAAACAAATTCAGATTTCGCTACACGATCTGTTTGGGTGACAGGCTTTTACATTTCAGTACAGTGAGAAGCGACGTGGCTGAGAAGGAGAAACTAAAGAACACAGCCTGGGTCAGCAAGCATGACACTACCACGCTTAGCGAACCGATGCATTCCAATAATATAAAGAAAACCTAATCAAGTCCAGGCGATTTCGTCAAGGAAGCAGTATGGAACTGAACAAAATAAATTTTGAAGGCTTAATGGTACTAAAGAATGGTCGACCTATGGGGCTTTATTTTGTAAAATAAAAAAGAAAAAATTGTGCTGAATAAGGATTTCGGCATGTTGAATACCGCATAGAAAATTTGATTCTGAATACAGTCAGTTGATATTCCCGGAAAAAATGAGGTCAGAAGAAAGCTAGCAGTTTGGAAGCTGCAAATACTGACAAAGGCTGACGAGTACTGAAACATACGATAGTCTTCTTCCATTTCGCATAATCACTAAATCGAATCATTTGTGGCGCCACGCCGTCCTCGTACATCATTGATACGAACTTTTCATTGGCAAACTTCAGGACACCGTCTTCGCCTTCTTTTTCAAAAGCGGTCAGCAGCCCACCACCTGTAAGATAAATCGTTTTATGGCAATTAAAAAAATTAATTTATTTCGGGACATGAAGTTCAGCCGTTTTTCCGATGAAAAAAAAAATATACAAATTTGAAGGAAGTCGGAAGAGGATTATGAAATCTACAAAATGCACCCGCTTTTGAGTTCACGATAAAATTGAGTATTTTTCATGTCTGTGTGCAGTGAATTTCACCTCAAAACTGAAGCAGTACCACACGTGAATATAGAATACCCTCGCAAAGTTTCAGCTTCACGGCTTGTCTGGTACGCGGAACAGTCGTTACAAATATCTTTGAACTACCATAAGTCGTGGCATAAGTGTTAATTAAAACTCAGTTTGAGTATATGATTTTCCATATGAAAAACAAATGTTCTAACAAGATTTCAGCCACTGTTTTCCGGCTAGTTTTCAAGTTTGCACAATTCCAAACATCGCGCTTTAACGTGACCGTGCGCACGGTACAAGCGTGTGTAGTAGCTGAGTTTTAAAACTTTCGCTCAAACATGCACATAGAATATCCCAGCAAAGTTTCAGCTTTCCATTTTGTCTGGTTCACGAAATCGTTTTCCCGCCAAAAAAATCTGCATAATTTTTTCAGGGATCCATAAGCGAAATCTAGGCGCGTATGAGCGAAAACTTTAAAACGGAAAAGTGATACGTGGGATAGGAAAATGATCCCAAAATTTCAGCCTCCCAGGTTTCCTGGTTGCTGAGTTGAAAGTGGATGACAAAGTTCACTCGCTTCCGTACACAAATACACGAATGACATCTCGACAATATGCGTTTTTGCTTAATGTAACAGCTTTATAGCGTTACACAGCAAAAACTTATAAAAATGAACAAAATTAGGGGTGTGGGACGCCGAATGCTACGGAATCGCTTTACTTTACGTCCCTTTCGATCAATATACGGAATTATTTGCAAATAATATTTTTGTCGAATAATTTGTATTTGTATGCTTAATGATTTCAGCATAATTTCCTTCAGTCGTTTCATACACAAAAAACCGTAATGTAGCATTAATTTCGACGGTGTCGAATTTTTTTTATAATTAATAAATATGAGACAAGGAGGAAATTAACATCGTTTAGCAGGTTGTTCAGAGTGAACCACGTTCCATAATGTTGTGATGACTTCTAAATCCAACTTCTTTCATCGTCTGTTTTACAGTAAAAGTCCTGTTAATCAATTAGTAATAACTCCAGTGAGAAGACGGGGAATAAGCAAAGGTAAGAAGACTGGACGTGATCATCTTTCAAATATTTATTATTGCCCTTTCTATAGACTGAATCAGTTTGCCACCCTCTTTAATTGCTGGTCCCCCACCGAGCTATAATCTTAATTAACATCTATTTTGAATAATTCGCGTCACTCTAGTCAGTTCCTAATCTGTACATTCTTTTTAATAAAGAGTGGCATAAATTCAGGTCAACAGTGCAGGGGAAAGGTGTTTTTGTTGAAAAAAAATAAAAATAAAAAAACAAACCTGTCCGCATCCCAACCCATTTGTAAAGATGATTCTTTTCGCGTTCACGATACAAATTTGACCACTGATCATCCGGATCTTCCTTCAGATTGCCAATATCCCCTCCACTGTGATGTAACAATTTGCTCTTCAGCTGCCCCATGAGAAATACAACAAGAAAATATTGTTAGGAATAAATTAGGTGAATGATGTGCGAATAAACTGCTTGTAGCTGTTCACCATCAGCTTGTTTTCAATATCGGGCATCTTGCTTAATAAATTTTTCTAATTGCTATGATAATACGTTTAAAACAAATGCACGATTAAGCACTTGTGGGGCTTTTATTTCTTCTGAACAACTGTTTCTGCACTTCAGCGAAAAC